CAACAACTTAAGATTTTATGGATTCCTATTCCTTCAAATATCCATCGAAGTTAAACAAGAAAATGAATTTCAAAATCAGTTCCTTGGGTATCTGTTCTGCTGCGTTGCCCTTTAGCTGCAAGTTTATCCATCGATTAAAACAAAATTTCCATTTGCAATCCCTTGAATCGAAATACGGGCAAATAGGGAAGCCATCTGGCAATTGGCTAATGCATGTTACACCCTATCTTACAATAGAAGATAAATTCTACCTTCAAACCTAATTTACTTCTTTATTTTTTTGAAGCTTCAATAGTTACTTTCTTAATCTCTAATCCCAGGTGGAGAGCTCAATCAAATAGCTCGCAAATTGCTACTGCAAGCTTCAATACAATATAATATAATGTAATATAATTCATATATATTTTTCAATCTAATCGAGTAACTCACAAACAATCTACTGAGATCGAGTAGATTGCTACTCAGGAGCCCTAGTTTTATGCAATTATTACTACTAGGATGCCTTGTAAATTGTGTAATGAAAGGAAAACCAATTACGAATTACTGCCATAGCCAATGCCAGCTAGCACTTGGGGTTGGGGGCATGATTAAATTGAATGGCAATGGCAGCGCCATAGCAGATGAAACTACATGTCCCACATCTCATGAAAAAGATTAACAAAAAGACAGACTCAGAAATAAAACGTAATTGGAAAGGGTACGCTTGTGAAATTACTTGTTCTAATTTGCAAAGAAATTGTTCCACCTAGCTCATAAACGAGACAAAAAATTGGGAGGAAGAAAATCGAGTTGAAGTGCCTAGGACTCAGATCAGATTCTTCCAACCCATTCTCATCCATAACTCCAGAAATAGTAAAACAAATATAAAGTCTGAACAACCAAGCAAAACCAATTAACAAAAAAGGGACTGGCAGAATTACTGAAGCACAAACTAGATTACTGTGAGACGCCCAACCACTTTGAGAAGTTCTCAAACTCTGCATAGTCACTATCAGAGATCATAGTCTGGTACCATGCCTTCCCTGCTGCCTTGATTGCAGTTGCCTCCTCCTGTTAGGTTCAACAAAGAGTACAAAGTCACACAACAACATGGTGTCAGACATGCCATCAAGAAATAAAGCACATTCTCAAAGCAAACATTATCGTCACAGACGTAGCAATACTCGCGACATCGTAAATGAACCATCAGCAGAAATGGCAAGACAGATAATATACATCCAGATTATAACTTAATCAACAAAGGCACAATTAGCCACGCCAAAGCAACTTAAGACATTTTAAGTTTCATTAGGATAGAAATTGTTACAGTTAAACAGACATGAGATTGATTACAGTAACAGGCATTCAAGTTTAATTTGAACATAAAACAGGAAAAGAAATTGTACGCTATCTCGTAGAGGAAGAACAAGATCATCTAATCCTACTCAAGATTATAATTCATGATACAGAGAAACTTTTGCACCAAAGAAATGATATTGTAAATGCAGTCGGCATTTATAAGAATCATGCAAGATATAAGACAATCAAATGATATCAACAATAAGAAACTAATGGCATTAACAATATATGACAGGGCAAGAGAAATATATACCTTTGAAATGGGCTTTCTTTTCTTCTCAAGCTTCTCATTCTTAGCCTTGACACGTTGTGCCTCGGCCAAGAGAGCCATTCTCCTAGCAGTCTTGGCATAAGGATTCAATTTCAGCATGGTGTTCAAGTTCTTCAGTGGGTTCTTCTTCAGCGGAGCCCTCTTGATCTCCTTGTTGATTGGTCTCACCACTGACTGCACCTCATCGGAGTTGATAATCCTGGCAAGGTCAGCATTGACCATCTTAGGACGGGGCAGAACGTATCCCTTCTTCTTCTCAGAGGTCTTCTCAAATGACCCATAGATTGAGTCCAGTTTCTCAAAAGCAGACTTGGTCCAGATCACAAACCTTCCGAGGTGCCCACCAGGAGCCAGCTTCAGCAGATTCAACCTCTCAACATTGGCGACCTCAACACCTGGAATGTTTCTGAATGCCTTCACGAGCTTCGCCCCCTCAGTTCCATACACAATCAGAGGACCCTTACGAGAGATGTACCTGCGGTTCCTCATCTTACCCTTTCCAGGACGGATAGCATGGCTGTCCTTGGCCTTTTCAGCATCAGGATAGGCTCCGATATACTTCAAAACCTTAATAGCAGCAGATGTCTTCTCAACACTCTCCACAGAGTCAGAGATGACCAGAGGCATTTCAGGGACAGACTCGATGCGATGACCACGAGCCAGCACAAGGGAAGTGACAGCAGTAGCAGCAATAGCTGACACAACGGCGTGGCGCTTCTGGTTGACTGGAATCTTAACATGCCACTTACGCCAGATCTTGGTCGGGGCGAACATGCGACCACCACGACACATGTTGCCGAAGGCACCCTGCCCGGCACGGTGGGTACCACCACCCGGAACACGGGGAATACGGGACACAGCACGACCAGTACCCCATGATTCAGCGGAAGTCTGATGACCGGCGCGTTTAGACACGGCATAGGGCTGGCGGCTGTTCTTGGATATGTTGTCATGAACAAAGCTCACAACATCAGGTCTGATCGGAGCCTTCATGACATCCGGGAGGGGAACGGTGGGGATAGCGTCGGTGGCCATATCACCCTCTAAGGTTTGAACGGTGACGAGAGGGCGAGCGGCGGCTGCCATTTCGTGAGTGTGTGTGCAGCGGCGTGTGGCTAGGGTTTTGAAGGGGGAGAGAATAAGAGAACGAGTAAGGGTTTGCGTGCCTTTTATAGTACATATGTTAGGGCTAATTTGACTTTTGAGTGTGTTTGGCAACAGAGATTATTGAGGTTAGTTCCCGGATAAGTTATTTTCTCTTTTCCATTTTATATAATCAGTTTTAAAATAAAAAAACTAGCATTGAGGGAAAAATCGTCATGCAATTAAAATTTAGATTATAATAAGTATGAAAT